CCCTTCATGCCCTCACACCTCACAGGATCCCCCACCATGCCCTCACAGGATCCCCCACCATGCCCTCACAGGCCCTTGGTGCCCTCACACCTCACAGGATCCCCCACCATGCCCTCACAGGGCCCTGCACTGTTCCCTCACAGAGCTCCCTCTGTCACCACCCTCCTGCCAGTGCCAGGCACCTGTGCCAGGTACGTTTGGTAACTGTCTAATGTTAATTTATTTTTATTTGGAATGTTTTCTATTTTTTTTTTTTTTTTACCTCAGGGTGTGAAGGAACCCCAGTTTATCAGGGTTGGGTGGCGTTCCAAGCTAAGATTTAAGGCCAGTTGTTTAATAAATGGAATGGCTGGACAATTAAAAAGAAATTTGTCTGACCTTAATAATGGCATGCTTTGCATTACAATTTTCTCTTGTGTTTTTAAAATCTCTTTAAAGAAATGTAGTTGTGTATGAGTACAGGCTAAAGCTGGGGATGACCTTGATGGGCAGCACTGAAGGGGAGTGTCAGCCTGAGGGGGTTCTTGTTAGCTTAGGGATTAGTTGTGGAAGAACATTTTCTTGGTTCATATTTCCTGGATTTGCCACATTCAAGAAGTGAGGCAATGTTTGTGAAATATGCCAGGAACAAAAAGCTAGGAGAATCTGTGGTGGTCAGAAAGGGATATTTGCATTCCCGCTTCAAGAACCCAGATGGACTTACAAAGTGAATGGAATATCACAGATTTTAAGGTTAAAAATGGATTTGGTAACTCTATGCACCAGCTCAAAAACCTGAGAGATGTTAAATATAGCAGCATATTCTTTAGTTAGAGCCACTGATATTAAGCAAATTGAAGAGCTTAAGAAAACAATAATGCTTTTTCTTTTCTGGCAAAGTTGGGAAACATTTAATGCTACTCTATGAAGAGTTGGTGAGATGTCATCCTCAACAATAAATGTAGTTTTGATTGCTTTTGAGCAAGGGATCATCTTTCATTTTCAAAGAACTTAGCATGATATGCACATAAATGTTTTGGGACTCTCCTGAGGTCTCAGAACATTGGCCAGTGTGGATGAAGTATGAAAGAAAGTGATAAATTCTAATTCAGAAGGTCCCAGTCAGGCTGTCATCAGGAAGAGTGCTGGCTAAGGGTGAGGAAACCTGAAACAATGTTTGGGCTAGGGAGTATTAGCTTCACACATTTACAAATTTGGGAAGACACGGTCCAGTTGCACACAGAACACCAAGGTTTCCTTGCTAGCTCTTAAATGAATTATTTGAAGGATTATTATAATCTTCCATTCCTGTGCTTATTTTCTATTTTTTTGTAATGTTTTGTAATCTTTTTGGCTACCTTCTTAGAACAAACAGTCCTCAAGCCAATTTGATATGTTAATATACATTGCTTAGGACCATATCATATATTCCCTCCTAAATTCTTCTTTGTTGAGGGAACGTGAAAGGATAATCTTTAACCTTTCTAGATTCATAGAAGTGGCTTCAGAGCACAATGAAGACAGGATTTCACTTACTGGTGTTTTAGATGTTTGGAGAAAACATTTGGTGTACTTGATCTGTGTGATGGACAGGTATGAATCTTCTCTCAGTGACATGACTCATGTTTTCTCCTTAGGTTTTTGAAGATCAGCTGTGAGAACTGATTCATCCATGATTCATGAGCCTTTTCATTTAGCCATTTTTCTTCATGAATGTTTTTTTTTCACAAGGCTGAATCTGGTGATAGCAATTACTGAATTTATCTCTGCCAGAATGTCAAGCCCCTCAGAAACAGCTATAAAAGCTTATAGAAGTGTTTTGGTTCCTTTTTTTAACAAATCCTGAAACATAAACACAGGTTTTTGCTGTGGTAGTGGTATGTTTTTTAAGGGGCATAGTATATAACCACTATAGCTAGGAATATGTGGAATAGGAGAAGAAAGGTAAATTCCTTTTAATTTGTTTTAGAGAGGTGTGAAATTTACTGTGTTAGTGGAAACATGTTTCTCAGAACCATGACATGGTAAAGGGCAGTCCAGTAATATGGTAATTCTTCATTAACACACTGATAGGTTAAAGGATTAGTAATTATAAATCTGGAATAATATCTGGAGTTTTTAGAAGGGATCCTGGAGTTGCTGCCACTTTCCTAGGATGCTTTAGTTACCACAGAAATCAGAAAGCAAAGCAGAGTATACCTGAGCCCAGAAAGGGGGGTGTCACTTGCCTCCTTTGCTCTGCTCACTCCAGTGTTGTAGGTCCCCTCCCACCTCTGTCAAATTCTCTTAGGTCCCTGTCACTTCAAATGAGTCTTAAGGGAGGAAAGGCTTAGCTTCAGGCACTTCCACCTCTCCTTAGATGAGGCAGGTTTCCTTAGACCCAGATTATCTTCCCTCACAACAGCTTCAGGAAGGATAAATTATGACTAAGCCAAAGTTTCCCCCCTCAGGTGCCTAGTCACACACATGTGGAATGAGGATAGGATAATTCTGGTCTATTAAGATGTGGATAATTACCACCAGATAAATTACTTCTTAGAAGTTCTGTGACATGTGTAGGGAATGAGGGAGATGGATGCTGGCCAGCTGCTTCTCTCACTGAGTGTTACAAACTGACAGGGCTGCAGGCAGTTCGGAGATGCTGTACTGCTGCTCTGAGTTCAGAAGTAAGGACAAGGGGCATGAATGTGTACCCAGAGCAGCTGCAAGGCTGGGACAGAAGCAAGAGGCACTACCTCCCAAACTGAAAGGGCTCACAGCCATGCTGGAAGGACCTGTGTGTGCAGGAGTTGGATGATTAAAACAGAATTCCTTGCTGCTTGAAATGTTTACTTTAATATGAAGCCAGCTAAAGACTGGAGGTCATCCTTGATCCTGTCTCCCTACTCCAAATAATGTGAAGATTGAAGGGAACCTAGTTTTTGATGTTTTCCCTTCTTCTTTCATATATCCTTTGCTGGAAAGAAGTTTCCTTTCTTCTTCACATGTTGTTAGGATTGTATGATTTGAACCATTTATCTTCAAGCTGCTTGTCTTGATCACCTTACTATCAATGGAGAGAAAACAAAATTTATAAGACTGAAACTGTCTTATCAGTTTTGGACACTGACCTTAGCATGAGGTATCTTGTACATTAAGATTTTCTGCACTGCATATGTCTCTAATTTAGATTAGGTGAATCTTACCCTTAGTACTAATTTATTGAGCTTTTCCCAAAAAGGGAAATGGCCAAAGAGGCTTCCAACAAATCAGAAAAGTTTTACCAAAAGAATACTAAGAGAATCAGGTTTAATAAGAGAATCAGGTTTCAGACAACAGTTGGTGTAAGGCAAAGAATAGAAGGTGGTTAATAACTGTTCCTTCCATATGCAGTGTTTGGAAAGATTTAAAGCTTCCAGAACTAAACAGACAAATGTATCTGGAGGTTTTGCTAGACTGGACTGAGACTGTAAATCAGCAGAAATTCAAATTCTCTGTGGAGAAGATGCATGTGAAGTAGTAGTAAAGTTTAATTTATTTATATAGCTCTGGTGTTTCAAGGGGAGGGTTTGAGATGTTTGCCTAGGAGGATTGCTGAATCTGTTTTTAATAGAGAGAAATCTTCATCCTGATGATCCTAGGGGTGCAAGTTTATAAGCTAGCAAAGCACAGTGTTTCCTCCAGAATGAGGGTATTGTTTAGATAGACACACCATGCCTGGAACTTTTCCAGTAAGGATCTGAGCAGACCAGAGAGAAAAGCTTTGGGGTTTTATTTTTAGAGAGAGCAGTACAGAATGGTTTTAATTTCTCTCCAGCAACAGAAGGGAGCAAATATTTTTATGGGGTTCCTTACTTCTATATTCAAACTCTTTTAAAATTGCCATTGTAGCCAGTGTGCATTTTTGTTAAATTGACTTGCAGTGTGATGAGCTATATGAGTAAAGGCTGGATACACCCATCTGCATAAGCATGTTTTCAGCTGTATTTACTGCATTACATTTCTCTGCTGCAGCCCTAATCTACCAAACAATTTTGAACTCTATTTGGGGTATCTTTTATTTGGTTTTAGGCTTTTAAAATTTTTAGGTGTTTTTCCAAATACATAGCTTGGTGCTAAGTTTTTCAAATTTTGTATTTTATGAAGTGCAAAAGCTACTTTTTAGCTGTATCACAAAAAAACCTACATTTTCAGTATTTTGTAGAGGTACTGCATTACAAGCATGTAATTTGTGAACTCAAATGCACTTGAATAGTGGTTTTTCATCTAGGGTGCCTGATTTTCTGGGGTGTATAGAGTATCTAATCTGCTGAAGTTACTTTCAGTAAGTGATTAATAGATATTCTGCATTCTAGCTTTTGTAAAAGATTCTGTGGACCCCTTGGTGGTTTTATGCTTGCAAATAGAAAAAGCTTGGAAAACAATATCTTAATATTAGAAATTCATCATTATTCTGCAGAATTACTTGAGTGAGAGCAGACCTAGACAATACAGTAATTTCAGTAAAGAGGAGGATGAGAACATTCCCAGTTTTGATACAATAATATCTTTCTGCATTATTAAATAGCTTTCTTGATGATACAACAAATTTGTGAAGTATTCCTGATCTATAAAGCAAAATACAAAATAACCCTCAGACAAAGTGGAAGATCTGTGTAGATCTTTGCTTGCTGGCGGGTCTCAGTTTCTCTAGAGCAGATAACTAATGCTGCTGTTGATGTTTGAGGCTCTTATAAATTATGGAATAGGTCTGGTTTTCACCTTCCCTTGGTCAAGTTGAACAACAGCTGAACTCCTTTCACTTCAAGGAAATGAATTTGGATTTAAAGAAGTCTATGATTATAACTACACTTGACCCATCCTTGAATACCCTAGAATGTTACTAGTTGTGAATGAAAATCTATAGAGATCTGCTCTGGTGGTCTTGCACAGTAAAAATAAAGCCCATCAGTAACAGGTGTGGTTTTGCATGTGAGCTGCCCTTGAGCAAGGTCTAATGCCTCAAAAGATGAACTACAATCTGAATTTCTTCAAACAGCCATGTCTGTTTGGAAGGCAGAGAAGTACCTGTGCCTCTGACTGGGAGGGGTGGTGAAAATTAGTGAATTATTTTTTTCTTATCATGAACTTAAATCTGAAATGGCAACAAATGAGAAATTATAATTTGGGCTTCTCTACTAACAGGAGTTGAGCAACGTCAAAGCTTTTCCATTGTATTTCCAAGTGAAAATATTTTTCTAATTGCAAAAGTTATAAATGTTGTCAGGTCAAAGGGAGTTTTTGGGTTTGGGCCTCACAGTCAACATAAATCCTCTTTATTAATAGCTGCCCAAACCCCTTGTCTTGGGGTGTGACTGAGAGCTGTGTAGAACCTTGTGTAACTGTGCTAGTGATGAGACAGCTGGATTGGACTGCACATTGCTCTTGGGGCCTTGACAACAGCTCAGAAGCAGCTACAAAGAGTAGAGGGAAGTTCTTGGTAGTGAATACATTGTGGGATTGAGGTATTGAGTATGTGCTGGTTAATATAGCCACTTTTGAAGTTCACATGTTTTCAAATGAAAATTAATTTAAAGAATCACAGTCAATAAAATGACATTGCAGCTGATGAAAAGGGAATGCCTTTTGCCAGGGCTAGCAATGCTCATTTCCTTGGTTTCCAGAATAAATGGAGAAACCTTTTAAAGTCTTTTGTTGTTTATTTGTTTTCTGGCTTAGGACTGAGTATTTAATTGGTCAGTTACAGACTACTAGTTGATTTCAGATAACTTGAGTTTATATAATGTTTTTCTCACCTAGGGATTCTACAAATGAAACTACTGCACATTCAGATGCTGGCAGTGAGCTTGAAGAAGCAGAAGTCAAAGGAAAAAGAAAAAGGGGCCGACCCGGCAGGCCTCCAGTATGTGTAATTTATTTTGGTTTTGTTATGCATCTTTTTAATTTATTTTTGTTTTGTTATGCATCTATTTATAATTGACTGCAGACTCTTTCATCTGATCATGTTGTGGTCACATAAATAGGCTTTTAATGAATCCTGTGTCAGACTTTATGAAGACTTGTCATATGAAATATTTATCAAATTGATGTGCAAACAATGTTTGGAGTCTTTAAAAAAGGACATTAAAATTATGCCATAATAGCTATTAATTTTTATTTTGCTAGCTGCTTTCATGAACAATACAGATTTGTTATTATTGTCATTACAACTTTCTTCCAGATATGAGAATAACCTTGGTAAGTACAACCATTTTCTTCCTGAAAGTTGTAATGGACTTTAAGTGACAAATTACATTTGAGCCATCCTTTTATTACTGATAATCTCTTAATGTGAGTGGAAGAATTACAGCATGATATTTACTAGATTCCTGAGAAAATCTATTAACACCTTTAAAAGTCATGTGATTGACATACACTGCATTCTGTTTACAGACTGGCAGCTTCAACATATCCCCTGGCATAGTGCAGCAGGTGATGCAGTTGTCTTTGTCTCTGCTGGCTTGTCAGTAGGAACATACAGAAACAGTTCTCTATTACACGGGTATTAGGGAGGCTTTCCCTTTTATTTTAATCTATTTTATAAAATAGACAATTTATTGGAAAATAAAGGGAAAGTTCTGTATGTCATGTTGTCCTCCATCTTTGTTCTTGTTCTTTGTTCCCTTGGCTGTATCACTTGAAGTACACAGTGTGGAGTAAGACTTGGTGGGAACTTGTGTATTTGTTATAAATGAGTTTGATTCAACCTCAGTGTTGCTCTGTGAATAAACTCACAATATGAATGTGCCATATATCTATATAGCACTAGTAGATAGAGATTTTTTTTTTTTTTAACCCTGGGGACTTTGGTCCTAAGGCTTATCTCAAACCATGGGCTTGGTGAGGATGTAAGAATGGATAGATCCATGTGTTACTCTCTCAGGCATGCTGGCCAAGCTGGAGCAAATTCGTCTTTACTGTGGATTTTCAATCTGCATCACAGTCTCTGGACTCAGTCAGGGTGCCAGCATTTTAAATCCTGGTCTTTTCTGGGCACACTGTCTTCCTTTTTGAAAGCTCTCAAACACTTTCCTGTGGTGCATATATTCTTCATCAGATAAATGGATTTACTTATGAACATGAAGCCTCTTCAGAGCAAGCCTTAAAGAAGTGTTTGAAAAGAACAGCTTATCTGTTTACTTAGTTTGTAACCAAAGGCTAAAATGAAAAATTATCTTATGAATATTTCATTAGCAAATCTATGGGGTTTTGTAACTCTAATAAAAAGAAGGCAGGTTGGTGCAACCTGATTGCTAACCCAGAATGTTGTCACAATATATGAATTCAAGTTATAGCAACACATGGGTTGTTTTGTACCCAGCACATACTCACTGGAAGGGAAAGGTGAATGTTACGAAGAGCATTTCTCATTCCTCTGCTTCACTTTATTAGTAGCTCCTATGGGAACATTTGCTGAAGCACTCTGCTTGTCCTGCTATCAGGTTTCTAGGGGAGGAATTGCTCATTTTGCTTAGAACAACTTCAGGCTCATTAGGTGTGATTGTCAAGCGATGAACATGCAGAGGAAGCAGCCTTGCTTCATTCACAAATTGATGGGGGCTGTGACCTAACTGCTGCTGCTAAGGAGTAAGACCATAGGGTTATCGGGGGAATTCTGTGGAAGCTTCATCTTAATGCTTAAGAGGATCAGAAAACCCCAAATCCAGTCTTGAAACTTACAGGAAGAAAATAGAGAATGAAACAAATACAGTATCCTTTATAAAATTGTAGTTTGTCAAAATTTGGAAGACTTTGCTCAGTTCTACTTTCTCTTTCCCTTTTGACCTCCATCCCAAAATCTCAGGAAAGCATATATTCGGACTGGAAGAGTTTGAGAGAGGAAAAGCAATATGGTTGTTTATGGAATGGGACTCAGCAGAACTCATTGCAGCCTCCTAGTCAGAGCAGAGTCAGCTTTGGGATCAGACCACATTGCTCATGGCTTTTCCATTTTGATTTTGAAAACTACCAAGGCTGGAGACTGCACAACCTCTCTTAGGTGCCTATTCCATTTTACTTCATGATAAATTTCTCCCTTGGTTCTTAAGAAGAAGTCCCAAAAGCAAAAAGCCACTCTAATGACTAGAGGATAGATGCAAAAACCTTGGAAAGGCTAATCTAGGCAATTGAATTTACAGCATTATTTTATGTTAAAAGCCAGGGACTTGGTAATTGTATTGCTTTATCAAACCATGTTGCCAGCCCAGCCACTTCCCTCAGGAGAATTGCCTGGTTCTTACAGGAAGTGCAGCTCTAACATTTTCCCTACCAACTCCTCACTACCATGGTGTTTGTTTCCTTCACAGGTATCATCTACCTTTATTGTCAGATGTGAAACAGATTAAAAGGTTTAGTTAAGTTTAGAAATATTTTTCTTAACTGAGATTTAGCTTAGATGATTTTAATTTCTGTTACAGACCTGAAGAATGGTAGCCCAAAGGCTCTTCTGACTTCTCTGGCTGGGATTTTTTTCTAACTTAAATATTATGATCTAATAAGATTTAATCTCTTCCTGCAAATGCAGATTTGCTGATGTCCTTAGGCCATCACGGCTACAGTGGCACATCTGCCATAAACATACTGACCTGTTTTGGAAAGGGACTTTACTTTGTGCTGCATGATCCAATTACAGAGCTGCATAGAATATATTACATTAAATATATGTATGTATTTTAAACAGGTTTCTGCTGAGTGTCACAGAATGGACTTGATCTTTTATCAGAAAGATATACTACTATAAGAGGATTTTCCAGATTGTTTTCCAAAGAAAGACATTCTCTGTAATTTTGAGGTCTTTGTAAGAAGATGATGGTAATTTGAAAAACTGCCTTTTGTAGCAAATACCTGTTCAGTTCACAGAGAACTGTGAGGTATTCTCACCATTCATAGAGAATGGTGAGAATGCTTTGGGGGTACCTTCACTTTCTAAACCACATGGAACTGGCTGATGTTTAATATTTCCTTTCAATCCAAGTCATTCCGTTCTAAAACACTGCATTTCAAGTAGCCCTTTCACTTCTATTCACTGTTCTAATGAGTACTTGACAGAGTAGGCTAAACAGTCAATTTGCAAATAGATTAAGTGCATTGGTCATGGAGAATGGCTCTCAGAATCTAACCTGACTGTCCTGAACTCTCTGGCCCTTGCTGTGAGTTTAGCAGGGGCTGCACCATGTCCTGCTCCAGGGGCTGGGGCTGGCTGTTGGCCATGTGCCCTTCTGAGGACTGGGTCTTGTAGAGCAGACGCCCATGGAGTGACTGGCCAAGGGCTGAGCCTGTCCAGCCTGTGGCATATTGTGGTGCACATATTTGTGGTGCTGTACGTCAGAATACTGTCTGGGTATGTATTTAATGAATTCTGGGAATAGAATTTAACAAATTCTATTTAAGGAGTGGCTTCTAACAGTCCTCTCCTTGAAGTTCCTGAGTAATACTGGCCAAAATGCCCTCTCTGTCTCCTGCATTATTGAAATACATGGGTATGGATGTGCTCTCCTGTTCTGCACAAGGGATTTGAAAGCCCAAGGGCTTATGATGAAGTATAGCATTCACATCCGTGAACTCAGGCTCAGATCAGTTATTTACCCATCCTTTTATGTGTCGTCTTTTGGATGAACACTCTGTTCAGCATTGTTGGCATGCTTTATTTTAAACTACCTGGCCTCACCTTCCCAGGAGCTCAGAATAGCTTGGCTTAAACTTCAGCTGCTGGAGGTTGAGGCAGTGAGAGAGATCCCTGGCTGTGTTTCAGATTTGAAGTAGGAATAGACAGATTTCATCTCTAATTCAGAGGACAGGGAGAAACATCAGTTTGTCTGTTCCAGAGGTAGCAATTTGGAATTCTCTGCTAGTTTCTCTCTCATCCCATACTCAGAGCCACAGCCTATCTTTCTCCACTTAAAGCAAGAGGAAACAAGGCACTTCTGATGCTTTTGTGCTAGCAAAGCCTGTACAACTTTGCTTTCAGGTCCTTTTGTAGTTTTTTGTATGGAGGAGACAGACCACAATGCCTTATCTTTGCATTCATACAGGAAATTTTAACTTTGCAGCAGATTCTTGGCCTTATTTAATCTTGCAGTATAGATGTTAGATACAGCAGGGGATTGAGTTTTGCTTCTAGTTCCAAGTTATACGTGTCCTGATTAATAACAAGGAGGAATCCTCTTAGAAGAATTTCTTTTCATACAGTCGAGGTTTGTGGTTGGTGTGATTTACATCATGTCCTGTTTCAGCTTGCCTGCCTAATGATTTAGGTCTGTCCCTTACAACTGAAGGGAGTCTGTAGTTCAGTAGAAATGCAGTGCATTGATAGCATCTTTGTGAAGACTTTTCTATCCTGTTACCTGTAGCATTATAAGTTTTCCTTTTAAACTTTTGATGGGATGGCAGTATTTTTGGCAATCTAATCTATTCTTCATTTTTCTGTGGAAATAAGTCTTTTTTTGGTAGTAAATGCCTCAGCTAGAAGAACTGAAATTATTCAGGCATTTACAGTATACTCTCTTGATTCTTTAAGATGGCTTTGAAAGCTCTTGATAGATTTTTATATAAGAGTGAAAAATAGCACCACCACTCCCAGCACTGCCTCTGCTTTTTTTGTCCTAAACTGCAAGCACTGCAGCTAAAGCAGCTCTGGGTGCACTGGGTGTTAGGGGACCTGCACCCATCTTTATTTGTAGGATGAGACTTTTCACAAGGAGCACTTTGTTTGTTTCTCTGACCAAAACAGTCCAAAGGACTGTTGGAATCCAAGAACCTTCTCCCTAGGTAATCATGAAGATGGTATGAAATGTGTCTTAGTCTTTTTATAATCTAGATTAATTCATGCAGACCTCAGGCATTACCAGTCTTCCACTTAACACAAGCTGGTAACACAGGGCTTCTTGAGGAGCTGATGCCTTGGAGAGGCAAATTCTTCAGTCTTACTCAAGTGGAGGTTAAAAAGCTTCTTCCACCTTCCCAGGGAAGTGGGGTATTCATTCCTCTAAATGACTCACAGTGTGAATGCACATACAGGTCGTTGTTTTCAGGTGGTGTGTTAGAAGTTACTGACTCGAGGAATTTCACTGCCTTTATTTCTTCATGAAGTGCATCACATCAACTTGGGGAAAGTGAATGGAAAATGTCAAGCCACTTTTTTGTTTGTGAAGTCTGTGAATCAATTTTCACTGTATTAATTGATTTTACAAATGTGGGTCACCTTTATTTTCTTCACAGTAATTTTAAAGACGTGAAAGGACAAGTATTGTGTAGCTAATTTGTTACAAAATCCTGAACTGTCATCAGTTTAATTGCAGTCAAGATGAGTATTTTGTTTCCTGTTTGCATTTGTTTAAGCCTTAAAGCAGCAGGTAAGGTATGTGACAATCAACATGGCCATTGTTGGCTGTTGCTTCAGTTGTGGCATATTCTGGAACTTCCTAATGCTGGTGTATATAAACCCTCAGCTTTTCTTGTTGCAATTTGAAAAATCATCAGTAATTTCTGTTTTCATTTGGTACCTCAGTCCATTTTGATGGCACATCAGCCCAGCTGTTCTGTGTTTTGGAGTGAAATCACAAATGCAACTGCTGCAGCCTCTCAGCTCCATGCAGCACTTTTTGTGGTGTATGATTAAAAAACCTCAAACATTCTTACCTTGTCATGCTGCTTATCCGTCCCTTTGGCAGTCCTAATTCACCCACCTGAGGGGGGAACTTTCTGTTTGAAAGCAGTAAAACGGTGTGCAATAATCACAATTTTTGCTTCTGTCAGGGCTTGAGCTTCTGGTTTTTTCTGTGTCTTGACTAGCATTTGGTGGGTCCATGGGAGCAGACCTGCTATAAATTCACTCTGATCTTAGGAAACATCTTGTTTTACAGCTGCCAGTGATAGTCTGACAGGTTTACTGGGGCCACATTCAACCTTGAGCAGGGCTGTTTCTGTGTGGAAGCTCTTGATGGCATTAGAGAAAGGGGGGTTTTTTTGTTTGTTTTTTGCAGAAGGATCACCTTTTCCTGTGAGTGCATATGTCTCTTTTCTGGGATGTGTGGTTACCTGTGCCTGGCATCCTCAAAGACAAACATAATTTTTAGATTTGTAGCTTTTGCAACTCCACTTCCAAGAGCACCCTGCCTTTGGAGATATGCTACAGATGCTCTGAATCATGAATGAGTCTTATCTGTGTTTCTATGGATGTACCAGTCCTGCCTTTTACTTCTCTTGCTGCAGTGGTGTGGAGGATGTCTCTGTCCTGGGATGGAATCATAGAATGCCAGGTTGGAAGGGACCTCACAGATTATTTGGTTCAACCTTGTTTGGCAAAAGCACAATCTAGAAAAGATGCCCTAGCAGCCTGTCTAGCTGAATCTGAAGTCTCCGATGTTGAGGAATACCCAAATTCCCTGGGGAGATTATTCCAGTGGCTGATTGGTCTCTTTGAAGCAGGATTTCCTACTGAACTATGTGCTCAGAGGCAGGCACCTGTATGAAGCTCAAGCCTGTCAACATGGCCTGCAAAGTTTTTTGCTGTAAATTCAGAGACATTATGTGCAAATAATGTTTGACAACTGCATTGTAATATTGTGTGTTAATGACTAAGGGAATGCCATGTGCTTTGTTGCTGGAGGACCTATATATGACTTTCTTTTCTGTTCACACTCTGGAGTGAGATTGAACTTGGGCTTCCTGCCAGATGCCTGCTGGGTGGAAGTACTGAGGGGTGGATGCCCTTTCACTAGTGCCCTTCCACCTGAAGACTGTTAATCCTTGCCTAGCTCAGAAAGTTCACATTTTGGGTTTTCTTCAGTCTTGAGTGGAGCATCTTGTCTACTTGTTTTGTCTCTAGAGGCAGGATTCAATACAGATCCTGCATCTGGATTTTACTACCCCAGCTTAGATACACAATGGCTTTTGTTAGATGCACGATTTTTCTCCACTCTGAGAGATGTTCTCATTGTCAAAAGAAAATCTACACCAGAGAGAACTTTTGTTCAAATAGACTCAGTAATATATCTGGTGCTAATTCAGAGCCAGGATCTTGAGGTATTTACTTGGATCTGAGGAACCTGACTTTACCCAGTAATTTGTCAGAAGTACATATGTCAGTTTTTTCTGTACCTCTTCTGAGGGCTTGGTGGTGATGTCACCCTTCCAGTTCAGACTGGGAGCCTTGGTCAAAGCACCTCCCTTTTCCCAGGATACCTGATAAAGGGAATTAAAACTGGGCATTTATATGCCCAGTGATGACACGTTTTGAGCCTGTGTCCATGGTACTCATGCTCAGGTACTCAAACAGGTGGCTTTTCTCATTGCTGTCATTAACAAGGTCGCTTTGGATATGTGTATTTCACATCCATCTCTTACTTTTCCCTTCATTCTTGCAGCATTTAATGCCTCTATTTCAATTGCATGTTGAAAAAACTGAGCGTAGAGGGGGCTTGCATTAGTTTCTGAGGAGGGAATCAGTTTGCATTCAAGCTTTAATTTAGCAGTCCTTGTAGCTAGGTAAAGTACTTACTGTCTTCCAGATGGAACAAGTGTATGGATTATATTTCTCAAAAGAATCAATTTACTTCTCATTCTTTCCCTTTTTAATAAACAGTGATCACATGTCTCTTTCAAGCTCAGTAGAACTTAAACATTTCATATGTTGATAATACTCTTGATGTTACAGGCAGCTTTGCACATATTTAAAAATCCATTGAGGGAGATATTTTTTGATCCTAAGTGCAAATGTTATCCAAAAAACTTCACAGAGATCATACCATTATTTTAAGCTTTCCAGCTTGCATTTCTATGCAAGTCCTTAATTGAATATTTGCAAGAGGCAGTTGCACTCTACCTTGCCCGTTGCTTCAGCCCTCTGGCCCCACCCCTTTTAAAGCAGTGATCCCTTTAAAAGCATAGGGAAAGCTGAACTTTGCAGGGCTGTCTTCTACCAGCTCTGTGCCAGAAATTAGATCCCTTTCCTCTGCAGTAAAATTCTCAATGTGTCTGCATTGCAATATGAAACTGAAAATGTTGACTTTGTGTTCTTTACTTAAAAGCATTAATAGAAGCTCAGCTGACAATATACTTGAGTAAATGATGCCATGAGAATATTGTCCAAAATTTAATCTTTGAGTTGCTTATGTGTTGTTTTCTTTAACAAAATTCCTCACAATAGCTTCACTGTTCTGTGGAAAGCAGCAAATTTTGCTTTTGCTTGCCTCACAGTAGGGAGAAAGAATAGAAGTAAGAAATCTGATGTTAATTTCTCCTGAATTTTTTTCTGTTTCACAAATGACTTAAATTCAGAGCAAACTGTTCAGTAGGTGAGTCTGACAGGTGGTGTCTATACCACCTGATTAAAACTTTGAAGAATATAGAGAAAATTTACATTAAGTAATTTAGACTCAAAGGGAAAATGTTTTAATTCAAAATTTTGAAGCAAGAGGCTGTTATGGTGATCTACTACATCTGGCTGTACAAATTTGCTGATTTGAGTTGAGAACCTGACTATAGGTACACAGTTTCTTATAAAAGTTGTATGAAAATGAAAATGTGGCAAATGTATTTTTAATGCTTTAAGAAAGACCATTAGTTAAGATCACCAGTTATTCTCAATGTCTGTGTTGTGTAAGACTCATACAGGGATTGACATGGACTGGTACTCCACCATTGGGACTTCACCACTGTCTTGGGGTAACCACAACTTACCTAGGCATGGCAGTGGCTTTTAAATAGTCTCTTAACAACTGATAAATAAAATTATATGTACCTGACTGGATAAAATCCTGATTTATTTCCCTAGCTGACCCTGCTTTGAGCAGGAAGTCAGACTGGAGACCTCTGGAGATACCTTCCAGCCTGGCTCATCCTGTGATTTTTGTGTGTATAAATGTGTGTGAGGGTGTAACCACATAATGTTTATGGGTTATAAAGATAAGCTGGGTGTATAAAGAAACACTGGGTGATTTCAGATGTAGCTATAATAAACTTTCACTCTGCTGGTTTTCTTTGCCCAGTCTGCCACGAAGAAACCCCGGAAGTCCCCAGCGGACAAGGGGCGTTCCGACGCTGGAGCTCGAGGAGCGAGTCGTGGGAGAGCCAACGGCCACCCGCAGCAGAATGGAGAAGGGGACCCTGTCACCTTGTTCGAGGTGGTTAAGCTGGGAAAGAGTGCTATGCAGGTAAAATGTTTACTTGTCTTCCTCCTCACAATTCAGTGTTATCCTGACTGGAGTCCAGTCTAAGCTGTCCTTTTGTAAACAGCAGTATTTTCTCATGACTGCATTGGTCCAACACACTGTGTAGGATAAAGTACAGGACTGAGTGGGTTCTGATTTAGGGCTGTCATGTATCCTGCTGAAGAGCAAGAGACCTGGCAGGGTCATGTGTTTCAAATTCTCCATTATTTTGTTCATTACTCCTAAGTTAAAAATGTATTTTGGTATTAAGCAGTTCATTAAAGTATATCCTGTAGCAATCTTTAAATGGGCAAAAAGTGTATGAAAGTAATTATGGATCCAAGCCTTTTTTATTCACTTGTTTTTTCAAGAATACTTGCTCACAGAAGCAGTTTGGAGTACTTTGCACTGGAACTTGCATTCCTGATGTCCTCATCAGGATAGCAGGTGAAGGATAAACTATTTTCCTAGACTTCCACTGAGTCTGAGTGAAAATGTTGACACATCCTGAAGGCAAATTTTTATTTATTGTAAAATAAATTAGATTGTCCTATTTGCCTCTAGAAATGTTTCTTACCCTCTTATGTTTTGATCAGTTCAGAGGTCTTTACAGGATGTGGGGCCAGGTGAGTTGCACCTCAAGACCCTGCACAGTAGATTGTTTTTGAGGGTGTTGTGTGGTTTTTAGTAAGTTGCTGTGCTGCAGCTCTTGGTTTGATATGCAAAGGAGAAACAATGGGCCCAAAACACTCTTCAGCCCATGCAGTCCAAAGCCAACAGTCATTCGTGCTCTGAAGGATTGTTTAAGCAAATCTCCTTTACTTTACATTTCAACAACACAGGACTTAAGCAGTATCAGTTAATTTGTTTTGATGCTGACTAACATGAGAAAAGTACAGATTAGGAAAATTAGGTCCTAAATCCCATTCTCAATATTACTTTTAGTGTAGCTAAACCTAAGTCTCTTTTAAGTCTCACAGAAATCAAATATTGCAAATGAGTGAAAGTTGTTGAAAATTTTCTGTCTCAAACCTGTGGAAAGTATGAGATTCAATATTAAAGAAGTAACACACAAGAAGGAAATGAGAATATTTGTTCTTCATAGTTTCTGTGTTTACACTTTTTCAGGATTGACCCTTCTTATCTAGTAGGTGAAGACAGAACAAATTTACTTGTAACAAAGCTATGGATTCCTTATGCCTTTTTCCCCTACAACAGAGCTTCCAACTTTGTTTGGTTTTCAGCACTTTTTCAAATTTTGTTTTTGGCAGGAATTGAGGAAACATCTGGAGTCTATTTTCTGGCTTTTTTTGTGGTACAGAACATACAATATACTTTATGTAGTATAGTTGATTTAGAGTTATTGATGTTTGCAGAAGCTAAATGGAAAGGAATGAGCAATTGCTTTGATATTTGATGACTCTGTGTGTATGTGGAATTCACTTTGATACATTTTATCTATTTCAAAAGAGATGCTGACACAAGTCTCCTGCAGATTAAATACAAAAAAAAATTGTCTGCATATTTGTATTAAGAAACCTTTGGAATTCAGATACAAAGGAATTATTTTGAGAAGTGGAGAATTTGTGTATGCATGTGGATATTGCATGTATTGCATGTATATTCATGAGTATATGTATATGGATGTGTGTCTGTATATTCACATATACATACCTGTATCCACAAATCACATTTGCATAGACACACACATGCCCAACCTGCAGGTAGGAGAAAAAGTACACAGCACTATCTATGCAGGGGAGAGATTATATACAAATAGGAAAGGAATAGGCATGATTATTTGAAGGCCTTGGGTGCAAACAGGCAAAACCAACTTGAGCCCTAATTTCAGGAGCATGCATTACTTGGGCACCTTTGAAAAATTTACTGTTGGTAAAAATATCCTAAAAAATGAAAGAAACCCTGTAGTAGGAAAGAGAATGCAATTAAAATGTGATTTAATATTTTTTAATTTGCACTTCTGGATAATCATCTCATGTGAAATCAAGGTTCTGTAAAGCAAACTTAATAGTATCTTTATACTTGTATTTTCTGTAATAGTTTAGAGATTTTGGTGCAACAATTAGGAGTGCTTGGCATTCCTGTTTTTCATATTTTGATGCAGGTTTTTTTGTTCAGTTTTAGCAATTTTGTCGGTATTGCAGTTTTCAAACAAGCTCTGTATATTTTTATTTGGTTGAACATATTATTTCTCAATATTTAGTTCTTTCCCTGTAATATGAACATACTCTTTTTCTAGTGCTCCTAAGTTTGTTTCCAGCAATGAAAACTTGGGAAAATTCAATTAATATATTCTGAGATTACATGGAAATCATGTGCTTTCGTTTCTGATCTATCTGCTCCTGCTGTTTGCTTTTAGAATTTTTTTTAGTTCTTAGAATTTTCTGGCTTTGTGATGCCTAGTCATAAAAGACTTTTGCTTAATTCAATTTTCACTTCTAAGCTTCTCTCTTTTGGTTCTCACAGCAGGATTAATTTATTACTTCAGGCTTATTGCTGGTTGCTTCTTCCAGGGAAATAAAATCAGTTTAATTTTTTGTATTTCAAGTATACATAAGTCCAGGACTGCTCTTACCATAAAATCTTTGCCTCTGTCATGAGGTGCAACTTGTGTCTTGCTTGAACTCTGTAAATCTATTTGTTGCCAACATTAAGGTGGTATCAGATGGTTTTCATTTGCTCTGTAACCTTTTGTACAGTTAGTGCTTCAGAAATTGTTCTGTAAGCACCTCTCTGTGTATGAAGTGTGACATGACCTTCTCATGCTTTCTGCAGGTACATTTTCAATTGTTGCTCCATTAAGACTGTTCATAGAACTTCTTCAGTGATTTTTGTTTTCATAGTTAAACATGATGCTCTTCTGCATTTTGTCATTTATCTCTTCCATATATTTATTTTTTAGTTATATCATTTTATAGTGATGGCTATGTCCTCTACATTTCCCTACTCTGAACTTCCATAGGTAGAATAGTCTCTATTAGCACTTTTCATGGGCTCAGCTGCCCACTGGTGGGAATGAAGGCTTGGGTGAGCCTCTGCTCTTCCAGCTGAGCCACCCAGGCAGAGACTGACTGGTAGCTAAAATCTTCAGACATCTCTGCACTGGTCTCTGACCCTGCTGTTAAGATGACAGGGAGCTAAAGAGATGAGGTCAGATTTTGTTTAGGACTCAGACTGCAAATTTCTTATGAATTATGATCAGTTATCTGTAATGAAGTTTGTGCTGCTGGTGGTCAAACCAAGCATAGAAGTATTCTGCTTTCTTGTCTGCAAAGGGGTTTTATTTCCCTGGAACATCAGAGAGAATGCATCATCAGTAACTGCAGGAGTTGTTCAGTACCAAAACATGAACAGATCTGTGCCTTGATAATTCTGCAATATTCCATGCATTACCAGTCACCTTTAACTGCTGGCACTTCACTACAGAGTAGAGGCTGATTTTGAGGGAAAAAACTTTTTAAAATTGCTGCCTCTGCTTATGCTCAGCTAGTAAAAGGTAATCTTGGTGTTGATTAGACATAGTTCAGAATAAATATGGCTCCATTATATGCCAGCAAGTATTTTAAGATAAGTCTCCAAGTATCTAGTGTTGAAATGGCATTTTTCATGGTGCCACTAGTTCTTCCTTGTCTTTCCAGAAATCAGGGATGAACGGGGTTCCTCACTGTTCTTACCTGCCCATCTTGGCACATGGGGATTTGTGTCCTTTGAGGTTCCCTCACTGTGCAAGTAAAGCTGTATTTGCAGCACTGCTTATCCTGCCTTGGGAAGTCCCTCTCTGACAGTAGGTCAGACTTATTCCTGGTTAGAGTGACTGTAGAACTGTATTCACCTTGTGCAGGAGGATTTACATCTGTTTTTACAAAGATCCTTGACATTAAGAACATCAGAGCAGCTGTAACTGGATTGTACCAAAAATCCAACAGCCTGTTGCTGACAGTGGCAGCTAAAAAAAGGAATCAGACAGCAAAAACAAATTTTGGGAGTTCTCCCTACCTCTGAGTGTTGGCACTTCAGGGCCACTGTGGTGTCTGTTCTCAGTGGCCTTAATGGATCTCCTCATAGATTTTTCTCCCTCTAGAAGTGTTTTTTGCCAGATATCTCTGTGTCTCCCTCAGCTATTTCTGAAAGTGAAGGTCTTTGAAGATTAAAATATACAGACATACATTAAGCATTTAACACATGCTTTTTGTTTTAAATGCATGTTTTAATTTAATTGGCCGTTATTGTATTTTAACTGCTGGATCCTCCAGCTGAAGGATGGATAATAACTCAGGGTTTCCCCAGATTGTCTCAGAAACTCCTTAGGATTTTGAATATGCAGTCTCTAAAGTTTACTGGGCAAAATTACTGCATTTATTATTGACATTTAAACTACTTATCTTCATTTTGCTCGACAGATTTCTTCTGTAGCCTAATCTTGCTTTGCTTTTGATTCTGTGGTACTGAATTAAAAGAAAAAAAATCAAAACTAGGTACATGGTTTTATAGTTGTAACATTGGGAACAATTTAGCCACCAAGTGAAGCATTAATTAATTAGAGGAGTATCCCTTAATACCAAATTAAATTTTCCGCAGTCATCACACAAGGCTTCTTTTCCTTTGTGATTTAATAAGATGTGAGATGATTTTGCTCTTAATGTGAACATAAGTGCCAGTAGTGCAGTGTGTGAAAGCATTTGTACCTGAAAATACTCATTATACTTGAAGGCAGAGAAGTCTTTTAATGTCTAGAATGTTGATGTTTTTTGAAGTGTCTGGGGTGATCTGTGAACCCTTTACAAACTGTGTGAGCAAAGGAATGCAAATCAGGTGTTTTAATAAATTGATGGGTCTCTTACTGGAATAGCTCAATTTTGTTTTAGCACTCCTCCAAGTATATTTTCGTTCTGATGCTCAATGTTTATGAGTAGTTTTGATGCTTTGTGGCATCATTCATGCCCGTGATTGGCTCAGCTTAAACAGACACAGCCCCTTGGAAA